AACAGATCATCTGCCTTTAGTTTCAGCTCTCTCTTGTGTATCTCTGCCTTGATCTGCCTGTCAGCAGCGTCAAATAGCCTACAAATCCGAGTTCACCAGTGATATCAGACATACTCCCCACTGAAGGGTTGATAATTCCACTGAAGGCTTGGTATTCCCACTGAAGGGTTAATTGCTACCACTGAAAGGTTGATTGTTCCCACTGAAGGGGAGCTGCAAATGTTATTGTAGATGCTCTGTCCCATCTCTCTCTGCCAATCAGCATCCTGCATTGTTCCCTGATGTCCAGCTGCCTAAGGTGTCTGTGGTGTCAGAGGTATCTGAGGTGTCTGAGGTCTCAGAGGTGTCAGATCTTCCTGTGCACTCACCTTTTTGAGCCTCCGCCATAGGGATTTATTTCTCAGAACTGGCTGCGGTACAACTTTCCTGCCCTCATGTGCTACGCCTACTGAAGTCTCCTACTCTCCGCCTTGTCACTGTGCCAGTTGAGGGTGGTTCTATACTCTGTGAAACCAAAACAAAGGTTCTCCACCCATTGGTTCCATCCTCTCAAAGGTTTTAAATTTTCTCCACCTTACAAGGCCTATCACACCCTGGAATACATGCTTCTAGACATCTCATATCTGCCAGATTTGTCTGGCGTGGTCTGGCAAATGATGTTTAAGATTCGTGCCCTTCCTGTCTCCCTTGTCAATGTGGTAAAGTACTCCGCCATGTTCAGCCTCCACCCAGAGAAAATTCTTGTTCCTTTTAGAAGATTTGAACATGTTGATGTTGACCTTGTTGATCCTCTACTGTCATCCCAGGAATTCACATACCTTTTTACATGCATTGCGGGTTGACAACAGTTGCCTGCTTTCTCTCAAGCAGAACAGACCTACTATGTAGTAGTCCCAGAATTACAGCTGGGGAAGCGCTGAGTTTAGTTACGCATCTTGTTTCCTACAGGGGAAGCTGAAAACAAAACTTCATCTTCAGCTTGGTCACTGAAAGAGGAGTTTAACCCCTAGTGGGAATACAAGCCATGCACAACGATACCAGTTTTTTACTCGACCAGATGTGAGGACTGGACTGCCATGGAAGATACCTCTCAAGAGAGCTTTCAGGGATCACAACTCCCCATTTTGCATAAGGGGTGCAGTTATGGGTAAATTCCTTAATTCCCCTAAATGGGAAACAGTATAAAATGAAGGAACACAGGGAGAAATCCCCTGTACCCTTCTTCCTACAAACCTCCTTATCTCTCTCCTACCTGCTCCACATCTCAATGTTAAAAGAACTATTTGGAAAGGCCTTGAAGTGTAAAAACAAGAAACAAGAAGCAAGAAGAAAAAAGAAATTGAACAGAAAAAAGTGGAAGGGAAATCTCTTGACAGTAGAGATGGGTGCTTCAAGCAAGATAAACAAGAAAGAAGAAGAAATCTTTGAACAGGATAAATTAGAAGGGGATTTGATCTTTACACTATCTATTTTTTTCACCAATAGCGACTAAAGACAAATACACAGGATGGCAGACGTCCCATCCCCCCCCCCTCTATGTCCTACTTGAGATTAAAAAAACTGGAAAATGTGCAAAACGCCCCCCTCCCCTCATCCCCCCCCCCCCCATCAAGAAAATTTTATTGAAAGTGTGTTATGAATGTTAGGAATGCAGGAGTTGACTCAGTAACATGACTGAAGCAAAATTTAATAACAAACAAGAAAGAATATAGATACAGGGCTCCAAAAAATAGTTCTGCCTCTGCAATTTGGCTAGCTGCAGAAAACATCTAAAAATTCATTTACTTTTATTTTAAAAATTAGCCAAAGTATGATTGAAGGATGGAAAAGGAATGGACAATCAAGAAGAAAGAATGAAAAACAAGAAATATAGAAGTCTCAAAATGTTTTCCATCTGTTTTCCATTCATATTGAAATGTAAAAATATTGTAAAATTTAATTAAAATAAATTATAAAAGTTAAAAAGACAGGTTGACAAAATGGCCTCAAGTTATACCACTGGTTGGAATTTCTCAGGCGGAGTGTGCCTTAACCATGTTCCACAAGTGAATCTTGTGTTTTGGGGTTCCTGCAATAATCACAAGTGACAGAGGATCGCAGTTCACCTCCTCCTGGTGGTCTGCCATCTGCTCCCTACTTTGTATCAAACACAAAACCACCATGGCCTTCCACCCCCACCATAGTTTCAGTAGAAAAAATATTTCCATTAACTGATAGCGCTGATTTAAGGATTCATAACTCTGATTGGATAGAAAGATTGATGTTACCGCCAAACTATTTCTATTGGTTCAGAATAGACATCAAACACATGCCTGAACCCTGATTGGATCAGGCGCTGATGGACTCGGCATACAGGAGTGCCCCCAGCTCAATGGAATGGTGGATAGGCTCCACAGGCAATTGAAGAATTCCCAACATTGCTCATCTGACCTCTCCAACTGGTTTGAATGAATACTTACCTTGGGTACTGTTAGGATTATGTACAGCTCCCAGGGAAGACTCTGTCACCTCCGTCTTTGAAGCTGTTTACGGCTCTGATTTGGTCCTCCCCAAACAGTTTCTAAAAATGTCAAAAACTCAATGTCTGGTTTTCCCCCTGTCCTACCTCGTCATAATACTCCATCAGCTGCAGATCTCCCAGAGACAATCCCGTCCTCTCTCTCATCCTGTCCAATGGTTTTTATTCGTCAGGAAAGACACATTCCTCCTCTAGCTCCTCTCTATTAAGGCCCTTACAAGGTCTTATCTTGTTCCCTCAAAACCTTTCAGCTCCAGGTTGGGAGAAGAGTAGGGATAGTTTCACTTCAACGAAACAGCTTAAACCTGCGTTCACTGCAGATGATGAGACTCCTGCATTGCCTCCTCAAAATTGTCGACCTTCACACCTCATCCGGTTCCTCCAGCTCCCCTTCAATGCAGAGGACGACCTCAAAAAGCTGTAACTGCCAAGAAGAATGAAAACAGTGAGGTTTAAGCTCAATCCAGTTATAATAAAGGGTTAAAGCTTCCACAACAGTACAGAGAGTCAGCTGGGAATCGTACCAAGCATTGGACTTTTCTGTGATATGTAAACATTGATTTGATATAGATCATCTAAGCCTGTTAAGCTCTATAGTAGCAGACTTAATAGTTTGAAATATTTGAGATATAAGACTTGGGTTGCAAACATATTAGAAAAATATAATTTGTGGCAAAGAAACAATTCCTTGGTGTTTTTCAAAAATTTACTGACTTCATTCCGATGAAGCTTTGACCAGCATAGCAAAACAAAGTAACGTCAGTTGCGCAAAATATAAATACATATTTCATAAATGTTGCTATAGGTGCAGCATTTGTACGTGTACGGGTACCATAAAGTATTGATGCAGATTGCAACAAAACTTTTCAAAATTATGTTTTTAGTCTAGTCTGGATTAGCCAAGTATTCAAAGCAAAAAAATTATTTTACTATTAACGTAAAAATAAGCTTCAAAATAGATCGTAAAAAAGAAATACAGACATTTATAGCAATTGAGGAAAACACAAAATGTGGATTTTTCTTTGTTCTTTTTCTAGTAACACACACAACAGATAATTAAACATTATCGGAAATATGAGACAAGTCGAGTAATTGTTTGCAGTTTCCCATCAAAACTATATTTAACCAGCACACGAAAGTACGAAGGTGTGTTGGAAAATTTTTTTAAAATTTTTTTACATTCTCAAAAAATTATTTCAATTATTTATGCCTGAGATAAAATATATTATTATGTTGTTTGGTTGAAAAGTAAATGTAATATTATTATGTTATACATTTTTTTAACCTCAAGTCTGATAAAGTACTCTGCTAACTCTCACAACATCAAATAAGTGTAAAGGCGTCAACAAACGGCAGCTAAACTCAGTTAATCAACCCTGTTTATTTTCAAATCGTTAACGAAATGAACCGTTCATTGAAAAAAATTAAACAACAATTTTTGAAAATAACGGAAGCCTTATAAAAATAACGGTATATTTCATAACTTTTTAATTGGTTTGAACTGCATGAAAGACGTAAACAAATATTTATGTTTAACAATGTGTGATGATGAATTTAATTCCATTCATTATATAATAGAACCATTCTAGTAAAAGAACTTACCAATCGTTAATGGTGAAGACAGTTAACGAATATTTGGTGATTCTACTGTTAGCATCGTTGAGAAATTGAGATCGTGAACAAACGGAAACTTCAATAAAAAACGGAAAAAACTCATTTATTAAACAATAAGTTTGATTGTACAGCTTTTTGAGCCCCTTGTTGGTTTAGTTAATTTTTATATCTGTTCACGAACGAATTGAAAAAAGTTGGATCGTGCGCAGCCCAGTGCATTTAAAGAACGGAATTGTTTCATGAAAATTATATTTATAATTAATTACAATAGCAAATAACACATATAGATAACGTTCTGTCACAAATAAATAGTTTTTATTAATTCTAAAATTTAATTGTACATTTTCAACTTAAATTTCCTCTTTAAATATATTTCAAAAAGGTATGAACATTTAAAAAACTAAATATAAAGACTACGTGTTTTAGAAATTATTAAAAAAGCAAAAATCTTTCTTTTTTGAGGCGTCACGTAAAAATTAAAGATATACGAAAAGACTCATAAACCTGTATAATTTATCTTTTTTATGATTTGTAAATATTGTACTTTTTAGTACCATTAGTCAGTATACATGTACAAAGTCAATTTTAGTATGCATAAAATGCAACTCACAGGACATCAAATGTGCACACATATTTTAAAACTATCGGTGGGGTGCTTTTTATTTTACTTATCTTTTTGCCATATGTTTTTACTTTGAACCTTTTGATTTTTTTAAAGATCCTCTCTATTGCGGACGAAGATTTTACACTTTTTCCGAATTCGGCACTTGAATGGATGTTATATACATTTAATTTCACTGTAAGAAAAAACTTATCCTACATTTCCTCTAGAAAACTATTTATTAAGCTTGTCTAAATCAACCAGAAATAACCTATAAAGTATATATATTATATACCTTTGATATATATTTATATGAAAGGTGGAAAGATAACATTAGACCCCGAATGAAAAATATACACTTTTACCAATAAAGGAATTGAGCATTCGCCACAAACTCGAATGTTATAATTTCAATTTTTCTGTAACCTGATGGTGTAAATCTTTGACATTTCAAACTTATTTTTGTTATCTAACGGAGTTTATAGAGTTAGGAATATCTAAGGTCTACGTCTTTGGATTGCAAAAATATAGGATTAGAAAATCAGAGTTTGTGGCAAAGACTCAATTCCTTTACATTGGAGATACAACTTTTGTGTAGTGAATTTCTGGATTAAGAAGTTATCCGTATCTGTGGATTAAACTGATTCCGTAATTTAATTTTATATTGGGGATAGATATCCCCTATACGATGTATATTAGCGCTATGTCTCACAAAAGTTTAAACATAGAGAGAATCTTGAATAAGTAGTAAATATTCTATGTTGTATCTGTAGAACACTTTTCTTCTTGGACTTGTTGTGACCAATTATTCTGAAAGGCTGCCGGAATTGGAAGTATTACTGTATGATTCTTCTCTGTGGATATTTTATTGAGTACCTAGATAAATACAACTTTAGTACATTCATATACACATATCAAATAGAAACACTTTCATACATAGATAAATATACACTTTAGTACATACATAGATAACATTTCATCAAATTAAGATGAGACTAATTCAAAGAAACTTATTATTTTAAAAAACTAGATCTGATGATGATGCAATCTGATGGTTTGATATTTTAATGCTTAGATTTAAATATAAAAGTTTTACGACATCAAGGTGGAAAGATATAGATATTAGAAAAATTGATTTTGTAGCGCTTAATCAGTCCCTTTAATAAAACCAATTCATTAATCAGTTCCATCATTGGAACTAATTAATAAAATAATTTATCTCTTTATCTTTTCAACTTGTTGTTATACTTTTGATCTAGTGGAATTCTATATTTGGAAATATCAAAGAATACGACTTTAAGTTAAAAAATAAAAGGATAAGAAAATTTGAGTTTGAAAATTAGTTTCTTTAAATAACGACTATCAGTAAATGCAATACTAAATTACAACAATTAAACATAAAAGTTTATGCCGGAACCTAATTTTATGAATGTGAACTGACTACCGCCGGCTCAAATTTGATTAAAATTCTTCCTGTATCTTTAAGTATGAATCGGTGGTTAAAATTTGTACCGCCAGTTGGTAGTTTAGCGACGTAGCTCAAATTAATTAAATTCGGATCTTGTCATGTCAGAGGACTATGAGTAATTATCATTTAGAATAAATGTATAACTTTGAATATTTCAATAATTTTTAGTTTAAGAATAAATCTTGTATAATTAACTTAGAGTTAAGTTTAACTATTACTCCAGTCTTATAATGATATATGCTTTTTAGATATATATTAGGTAAAAAGGTGAACTTTTGAGCATAATTTAATGATTTACCTAAATGGGCCAGCCATTATTACCCTTTTCTACCATTTTTTTGTTAAAACTCAGTCAATTTTAAAAACGTGATACCATCATGAAAATAATTGAACTTTGTTCTATAAATGTTTGACAAAAGTTGTTTGAATTTATGTTTATTAAAGGTGAAATATTCAAGAACAGGTGGAAAAGGTTTGTTCATTAGCGTATATGATCTTTGCTAGTTTTGGTGAAGTATTTTAATAAGTGCGATTTGAACTGGCCTAGCCAACATAAATCTTGGTTTTTTTGCTGCTTAAATAGTTTAGTTCATAGCTCGACCGCCTTTAAAGATATCAAACTTTTTTACTATAGTGCAATCTAACTTTAATGACCGGGCATCTTTTGAGAAACAACAACTCTTATCTAGATTGTTTGGCTAGACAGTCGAGCGAAGAGGGAGAAAATCAGACCAAAAAACAATTTTTATCGTAAACTTTTTTGCCTTCACCTTACACAAACAAAAAAAGGTTTTATAGTTTAACCCTAAATTGTCAGAATGATCTTAAAGAGTATGGGTCGAAAAAGTAAGAATTTGAAAATTTTTAATTTCTCTCAAATAACATTTGCCCCATGTTAAATGATTTTCAAAATGGTATTACACTTCAAAAAGCCTAAACATTTAGTGAGTTAAAACAATTTAGTTAAAAAAGGCCAAATACCCATTTATAATGCTAAAATTTTGTATTTGGTTAATGCTTCATAGAAAAATGTGTCGCATATCTGCGATTTTTATTGTGCACTATGTTTTGTTTTTATTGCATACAAAGGAATTGAGTCCTTGCCACAAACTCTGATTTTCTAATCCCTATATCTTTGCAACCCAATGTCTTAGACCCAATATATTTCAAACTAAGTATACTGCAGTTAGATCAAATAATCTAAGTTTAAAATATCAATGGTTTACTCCATCAGGTTCCAAAGATATAGGGATTGTGACAAAAACTCAATTCCTTTACAGGAATAAATAAAATATTAATTTTATTTTCGTTTTTCCAAACTATCGTGTTTCTACTTTCTAATACTCATTTACTGAAGCCTGCCTATGTTGTTAACTATGTATATTAAATCTTTTACAGGAAACAATATAAGTATCAAATACATTTTGTAGATTAAAGAAACGTAAACATGAATTTGACAAAATTCTTTTCCAATTCAAACTGGAAGCTATTGTGGTACAATAAATTCCGAATACCGAATAAAATAAACATTCAGTTAAACAGTTTAAAGTTTGTGAAAGAAAGAAATAACAAAAAAATGTTAAGATAAATATTTTAGTTGAGAGAGTTTTTTTTATGGAACTCATTTTTGTGGTGTTTAAAGATTCTGAGGCTTCTTTCGTCGACATTCTGCAAAGAAATCTGCCAAGTTTAGAGGATTTAAGAAGATGAGTTCCTTTTCAAAGAGAACCAATTCTCTACAATTTCACACTGATATTCCTAAGATCTTTCTAAATCTTTATACATACTTACAGGGTTACCCACAAAGAATGAGACTTCAGAGATGACTATCGAATTTTTGAGTTCTATTCACTTATTAAAAGGAGCTTTTTCCTTTATCAAACCATTATTTAGTAAAACAACCAGAGGAATTGAGTCTTTGAAACAATATCAAATATTTAAACCGCAATATCTTTAGAACTCGATGTTGTAAACCTTTGATATTTCAAACTCAGATTACTTAATCTATCAGAATTCATAGTTTGAAATATCTAAGGTCTGCAACATTTGGTTCCAAAGATATAGTGATTAGAAAATCAGAGTTTGTGGCAAAGACTCAATTCCTTTATCATTTAATTCGTCATATCACGGGGTTTGGGCCGTCTTTAGAGTCTCGCCATTTTTGTGGGTAATCATCGACAGATCAAGGTCCAAGGATGATGGAGAATGCGGTATTTACCCTAAACGGATAGAGTTCGTCGATGACTCAATTTTCTTATTATTATTATCATACACTGATGTAAAAAAATAAAATAATAATTTTTGTTTTCTGCCGCCTTTAAACGATATAAGCTAAATTCTATGCTTTTATACAGATAATTTAGATTATATCCGCAAAAACGCGGAAAATTCGAATTTTATTTGATTTTTTTATTTATATAAATTAGATATATATCCTTGATCTGTTGAAGGTTTAAAGGATACCGTTGTGAATATTAACTGGAATTCTTTGAATAAAAGTCACTTGAAAATGAAATTACGCTTACCGTCCCTTTTTATGAAACTAAAAATAAACTTCTACGTAGATGTAAAACCATAAGTCTTACTTACTCTATAATATTACTTTTTACAAGAACATAAACAAGTCAGAGTGGGAGTAAAGGAAATCGAAACTTTTTGTTGTACCCAACCCTGTGACTATTTTTTACTAAAACTCATAGCTTTACAGAAGTAATGAGCTATAAAACCAAATTCTTATATCGGGATTTTTGAAATAATCAGATTTTTAGAATCTCTAACGAGATAAGCCAACTGTCATAGAGAATTCCCGAATTATCGAAAATCCTCGTTTTGCTATTGATTTTCATTATTCAAGGCCTTTTAGGTACCAAAAGCTTGAAATGTAAATCCATGCATTATTGCGGGGTTCAAGATGATGTTTCCAAGCCTTTTTAAAATCTCTGAAAGTTTTTTGGGGGAAATCTGATTTTTTAACGCTTTTGGTTAGTCAACATTTTTTTAGGATGCATTCATATTTCTGTTCACACAAGATTTGGTGAGAAGAAATGCAAAATGAAGAGATATTTTTTTTCATTGTTTTCAGTTTTTCTTCTTGGATAAATCATATATATATCAAATCATTAATCTAATCGGGCATTTTATCTCAACCCCCTTTTCAGGCATAGGTAGGTCCAGGGAGGCAGGATTTTTAATTTAAAAATTAACATTTCAGAGGAAACCTGAAAAAATTATGATAAATATGCCATCATTTAGCATATAGCTTTTCCATTTTTATATAGATTAAAATTGTTAAATGTTTCATGAAAACTTCGCTTTTTTATAAAACCATCTTAAAATGGTGTTATATAACAAAATGAGTCAAAAAATTAAATTTTCCGCAAAAAAAGTTTGCATTACGTTTTACAAGGGTTTCAAAACAATTTTGGAGATTTAACCTTATTCCTGCTGGGGGGGGGGGGGCAATTTGTCCCCCCCCCTGTAGTTTTTTTTTACATAACTCAAAAAGTATTCGTCTGAGGCTGTTGAAATTTTCTGACTTTTCCTACATACCCAAAACCCTTAAACCCTTAAACAAGACCTGCCTTTTTATTTTAATATCTTTATTTGTCTAAGGCTTTGAATAATGAAAAGCATGTCAAAAACGAGGATTCTTGATAATTTTGGAATTCTCCAAGAATAGGATTTAAGCCCTATTTCGTTACCAATTTTAAAAATTAATTTATTTAAAAAATTCCCATATGAGAATTTGGTTTTATAGCTCATTAGTTCCGTGAATTATGCAGTTTCAGAAAAATATTGTCCCCGGTTTGAAAAAGTCTTGATATCCTTGAGCCCCACTGTGAAGTGCAAGTTTGTAACTGAATTTTGATTGTCTTTACTTCTGAGAACAAGTGTATTTATTTGATAGAAGGATAGAGAGAAAGTTAGAAATCCCAAGTTACAGATAATTAGATAAAGAGAAAACAACTCAATATATAGAGAAAAGATAGAATTACCTACAGAGTATACTAATACTTAGCTCTTATTTTGCTTTTTAAACTCTAATAAACTATTTGTTTATGTAGTAAAACCAGATAAAAGATAAATGTTTGATATGACTTATTTTTCATGCTTTAAAATTCATATACATCAAAACTCTACTCATAGATTTCGTATCAGCATTACCTGAATATCAACTCTCTTATGAAATGAAAAGAATCGATTACTCGCCTCAATTTTAATTGTTTTATCCTTGTATCTCTGCAACCTGATGACGATAACATATAATAATTCAAACTATGAATTTTCCCTGATCAAATCTGTAGACATAGTTTTAATTATCATAGATTTACACCATAAGGTTGCAAAGTTTCAACGATTTAAATACTTAATGTGTGGCGAGTGTTTTTTAACCCTATCCCTGCTGGGGTACTTGAAAACCAGGATATGCTGGTGGATATCCCCCCCCCGTCTAAATTCCATGTTTAATGTCCAAATATGACAAATGATACATCATTGGAAAGCTCTTGTGCTCTACTTTTAGAATCTGTAAAAAAAAATGCAAATTTGCAAAAATTGAATTTTTTATCGCAAAATCCAGTTATACAGTAAAAATGTTTGCAAAAAAAATTGCCCAAAAAATGAAAAATTAGACATTTTTGAAAAGCCCTTGACCATACCATGTCGAATATGCAAAAATTTTGCCCAAAATTTGAAAAAACCTGATGTTTAATTAAGAAAAACTAAAAATGTTGACAGGTTGTTTGAAAAAAATTTGCATTTTTTTTTTGCAAAACTTGTGCAATCCGTTCCCTTATGTCATAGGCTTTCTAAAAAGCTAAATTTTATCAAAATCTGACAAGTGAAAGTGGGTCAAAACAAAGATTTAGTTTGTTACAGGAAAAAGCAGTCATTCAGGCAGTGTGCCTGAGGACTCAGGCAGTTAGTATTAAAGCCCGGTTTTAGGCCTAAGGGGAGGGCTTTGGGTATGTAGGAAAAGTCAGAAAATTTCAACAGCCTCAGACCAATACTTTTTGAGTTATGTAAAAAAAACTACAGGGGGGGGTCAAATTGAACCCCCCCCCCCCCCAGCAGGAATAGGGTTAAGTCTTACACTGATTGCGCCAAGACAAAGATCTGAACTTAAAATTTAAATGCATAATATTTATCTACTGTTCAATGCATACATTTAACACAAATGCATTTTTAAGAAGTAAGCTACAGATTGAAAATACACTAAATCATTATCTAGCTATCTATATAGCTGAACGAAATAGCAGGAAAGGACAAGGGATTCAAGAGGGAAACAGGACCAACCAAAGGACAAGGGATTCAAGAGGGAAACAGGACCAACCAAAGGACAAGGGATTCAAGAGGGAAACAGGACCAACCAAAGTGTAAACGACAAATTTTCATTTCCAATCCAACTTAATTCGTCTTTAAAGATCAAATTTAAATGATAATCTTTTTCATTAAAAATCTAATATGCGAATAAAGATAAGTTTGTTATCTTTTTTAAACACTTGAAGCCAAAGTGTTGTGAAAAAACTGCAAAACAAATTACTTGGAAATAATGAATTAAGTAAAAATCCATGAAGAGAGATATTTTTTTCTGAATAGATAAATGAGATAAAAAAGAAACTCTGTTTGGAAAACTATGAGATACGAATAAAATAAAAAAAAATAGGATAAGGATGGAAGGAAATGAGATTAACGATAAAATAATAGGAAACTAAGGACTATTAATGTTTCATGATACCATGCAATTAGTAAACCAACTAGACATGCCTTTTGGTTTGTGGTGAGAACTGAGGGCAGAGCAGAAGTTAATTGAGGATCAGTGGGTAATGTTTACAGGGGGATATTCGATAAAAACAAAGTTTAAAAAGAAATATTATATTAATGATTTACAGTTCTTTGTAGAGTTAAATTCATTTCTAAATCACAAGGTAGGAAAGTTAATTTTAGGGGAATTTTCTTTATGAAATCACGAGGAAGGTTTTGAGAAATGGTTAAGTAGAATGCTGGGAATAGGGAGAACGATTGTGTGGTTCTTCTCTCTGGATATATTATTCAGAACCTGCAGATTCACGAATAGATAAATAGATGGATAGGTTAAATCATGATATATAGTTAGTTTTTAATTATTCAAAAAATTAATATTTAAATTAGCACAAAACAGATGAATACAAATATTGATTAAGAAGAGAAAAGAATACAATTATAAAAAATTGATATATATATAGAAATAATTGATATAGCAGATGTCCATCAATAAAAAGAAAATATAACAATAAACAAAAAGGTGATTGGATGACACGCTGATCCCAATTTTTTTTGGTTAAAACGATTTGGTAATTTAATCCTTAAACAGTATTTGCGGATCATTTTAAGTTTCTACCTGCAAATATTTAAGAACAAGGGATGTAGGACAAGATTGCATTTCATCAGCTGCCGCTCTAAAAAAAAATTTAGGGGTTTAATAGAATAATGAATTGTTAAGAATTTAATTCTTATTCTATAATCTTCTGCAATTTTAACCGTTCTTCTAATTGTCGACTAATTTTAAATTCAAGATGCACAATAAATTTTCTTAAATTCAACTAACATAGTAAGCAAAATACGAATTTTAGTATAAAAAGTTTAAAATGGTAAGGTTGATTATGATACTTTAAAGATTTGAAAACTTATTTAAAAGTTTGAACTGAGAAGATTTATCCCTCGGTTGAACGAGATAAACTAGCAAGAATTGGTTTCTAGTTTTCAGACTTACATTTTAATATAGAGCAATAAAATAGATTAAACAGTAAAAAACATAACAAAGGAAAAACAAAGGAAATCGGAATTTATAATGCAAAAAGGTTTTGGGTTTCAAGTTTTTCAAAGATTACTCTTAAAATAAACGCAGAGATGAACCCTTCATTTCTCTGAAAAACTTAATTGAGTTAACATCACTTGGTGTCTACCTTATTTTTTCCAGGCACTTGCCTTCTCCCTTCTGCATTATGACAAGCCCATTAGCATTTCTAAAGGCCTAGACAAAAAAAGGGCAGTGTTAAACTTGTTTATGAAGTAATGAAGAATTTGAGAATATAGGTAAAAACAGGGTTGTGACGAAACTGATTTATATTCAAAAATGATTTTTTCGATCTTAAAACGTGGCGTATTCTGTAAATTAAGTTTTTTGGCCTTAGCTGAAAACTTTAGAATGAGATATCCTTAATCCCAATTACTTAATCTAAGTATCCAAGGACAGGCTTTTGATTTCCTTCTTAATCAGTTCTTTCTTGGATATAGTAGAGAAAAATCAAAAACCTGTTTTTTTAATTTAGTAATCCTTCCCGTTTCTGTATATATTCTTAAATGGCACGCAAAATTTCAAATTTATCGGCTTCATATATGCGACTCTGATTAGTTGAATTTTATACACTTTTCAGGATACCAGTACAAAATTAGGTTAGTCTCAATATTAAGAAAAAGAGAGGATCAAGCATTAATCCCAATATCCACCATTCTAAAGTTTTCAGCTCTTGTTGCATATATCCGTAAGTCACTGTTATAGAAAAACCATGATTAGAAAATAGAAATTTCAAGAGAGAAAAACGAGAAAATGTGACTTCTTTTTGCTCGAAAACAACTCTGCAATCATTACGGCCAAAAAATTATTTATGATTTTTTTTTCTTTTTCGGAACACCGTGTGTTAATTATACCTGAGCTTCTACGGCCATACTCTTTACCATTTCCCGAGCTACACACAGATTCTTTACCTGCAAATATATATTGTATATATATGATAATAATATATATTTCATATTAGATATAAGTAAATTAGATCGGGGAAATATATATAACTATATATACATTTATATATATATATAAACGTAACCCTTTCCCTCCTGGGTAACATTAACATCAGATAGGTGACAAACTGACATATCAACCAAATTAACAAAGTAGGTCATATTTAACTACTATATCTAGCGTCAAACATCTCATTTAAATCCCTAGGCCCTTTTTAAAGTTTCATAGAGCGATTACACATGAATTATTTATGTTTACTTAATCCCCTGAAAAAATAAGACAAAATAGAACGTACAGTATATGCGACTTTGTGACCTATATATATATATAGCTCCTCTACTTTTAATTCTTCGAACAAATTTATCCAGTTTATCAGAAATTCAAAACATTGTTGTTCTTTTTATAAGCTCTTTATAAAGAGGATTTATGAGCAAAAACAAGTAAGATTTCAGCAATTATTTTGACGTTACTCATGAAACATTTGTTTTATTAAATATTCTTATTTTCTTTGAAAATTCCTCTTCTTTATAAATAACTAGCTTGGGAATCCAGTTTTGCCTGGTAACTAAACTTTCGCTATTAAAGCCATCCCACTCAAGTTAACCAAGTCAAGAACATTCTCATTTCTCTACCGAGTTCACCAATACAAATTTGAGGCAAAACAGTCAAGGGATTAATGAGTTATGAACGAACATTTTGTAAATTAAGAATTAAAATATTTGTAAGGGTGTGAACGACTTAAACAGAAAAAGGACTTACCTCTACTCTCTCGACAGTTATTCCCCACGGATCGCACGCATGCTTAAATGTGCTCAACACCGTTTTAGCGATTTCTTCTCTAGAAATAGTTTGACTTTTTAAATAATCTAGTTGTCTAAGTTTGAATACAGGTCACTGTGGAACAAACGTTTATTCAAGAAGATTTTACAATTAGTTTTTCTTTTTTGTTGTGAATCAATTTGCAAAATGTCTTCAATTTATAATTTCAACTTGGCTAAATGTGTAAAGTACAGTTGGACCCATTAAATAGTGGAATAGAAAGACGATATTTAAGCAATCTTATATTTATTTACTTGATGATTGTTTAATACAAATAGTTTTACCAGTAGAACAATCAACTTATAGGGTCCGTCCTAGTATACGGTTTTTGGACCCCCTCCCCCCCTCCTATCAATTTTGTACATTTATTT